GCACCCTGCTTCGACGGATGTGGTCCGGGTGGACGCATCGCACCCTGCTTCGACGGATGTGGTCCGGGTGGACGCATCGCACCCTGCTTCGACGGATGTGGTCCGGGTGGACGCATCGCACCCTGCTTCGACGGATGTGGTCCGGGTGGACGCATCGCACCCTGCTTCGACGGATGTGGTCCAAGGGGCCCCGGCTCAGGTGAAACCTTTCCACGAGCCTCCAGTCCAAGGGTCGACGCCTTCAGGCTCTGAAGAGGACGTCTCCTGCTCTGAAGAGGACGTCTCCTGCTCTGAAGAGGACGTCTCCTGCTCTGAAGAGGACGTCTCCTGCTCTGAAGAGGACGTCCCCTGCTCTGAAGTTCCCCAGTCTACGTCCCCTCAAGTTCCCCAGTCTGAAGTTCCCCAGTCTACGTCCCCTCAAGTTCCCCAGTCTGAAGTTCCCCAGTCTACGTCCCCTCAAGTTCCCCAGTCTGAAGTTCCCCAGTCTACGTCCCCTCTTAGTCGTGGTCTTTGTCCAGAGTCCCCTGTTGGTAGTAGTCCTGTGTCCCGTCTTAGTCGTGGTCTTTGTCCAGAGTCCCCTGTTGGTAGTAGTCCTGTGTCCCCTCTTAGTCGTGGTCTTTGTCCAGAGTCCCCTGTTGGTAGTAGTCCTGTGTCCCCTCTTAGTCTTGGTCCTGTGTCCCCTCTTAGTCTTGGTCCTGTGTCCCCTCTCAGTCTTAGTCTTGGTCCTGTGTCCCCTCTCAGTCTTAGTCTTGGTCCAGTTTCCCCTCTCAGTCTTAGTCTTGGTCCAGTTTCCCCTCTTAGTCCTCGTCCACCAGTTTCCCCTATCACCACACTCCTACAGTCCCGGCTCCTGGTTCCCCATCGCCGGCCCCCCAGACTCCCACAGTCCCGGCTCCTGGTTCCCCGTCGCCGGCCCCCCAGACTCCCACAGTCCCGGCTCCTGGTTCCCCGTCGCCGGCCCCCCAGACTCCCACAGTCCCGGCTCCTGGTTCCCCGTCGCCGGCCCCCCAGACTCTTCTGGCCCTCCTTCCTGGTCCCCCTCCTCCCGCCCTGCTCTGGCCCTCCTTCCTGGTCCCCCTCCTCCCGCCCTGCTCTGGTTTCCTGTGGGCGTCTGGTATCCGCCCTTGAGGGGGGGTTCTGTCATGACTCCCGTCCTTCACCCTCCTCCACTTCCCCATTTTTACCTTCATTCAGCTCCTGGTCCCTTCACCAAGCTCAAGTCAACTCAAAATCCACATCATCCTACCACCTGTTTCTCATTAGCTCCTCATCAGCTCATCACACACACCTGCTCCGCCTCCTATATAACTCCCAGCCTGCTCTCCATCCAGTGCCAGATTATTGAACACATCTTGTTAGTATATTCTCCAGCCATCCACCCTGCCTGATCTCAACCTCCAGACCTTGTTTTTGCCTGACCCCTGCCTTGTATCCTGCCTGCCATTTTGACCTCAGCCTGTCTCCGACTCTGTCTTCAGCCTCGCCCATCTGGTAACTTTGCCACAAATAAAGACTTTTTAATCCATTTTTTGCTGTGTTTAGCGTCTTCACGGGTCTTCTGAGTTCTGTTCGTGACAGAATAATCTGGCCAAACATCTGACCCAACGCTGACACAGCACTTGGAGTATTTTTTTTTCTTTTCTTTTTTCATCGTTCCTGTCATGGAGGATCTCACGCTCCTTGAGTTTATGGAGCTAGAGAAGGAGATGGAGTCACCGTTCTGGGGAACGCGGCTGGCCATCAGGCCACAACCACGCAGAGGCTCCACTCCTCCATCAAGACCTGCTGCAAACGTCTTGTGCAGCGGGTTCATGACCACACAACAGTGCCGGAGTCCTCCTATCATCACGCCGCTCCAGCCTCAAACCCCTCCTGTCAGGTCACGACGGCGGCGGTCCCGGAGGTTTTCTGGAGCTGATAAGAGGGTTAATCCTTCTCCCGTGCTGGTGCCGGCGGGTTCCACGGACGGCACCTCATGTTCTGCTTCTGGACCGGTTCCGACGGAGGAGATTGTTCAGGGGATGATGCAGATGGTCGAGGAGGCTGTGTGGGAGGTCTTTGCCAAGCCAACCTGCCCCCACTTACGTCTGCGGGCGGCTGATAGGTTAAATTTCATCTTCTCCACCCATCCACAGTTGATAGCGGTCCCAGAACTTGGTAATTACTACCTTTATGTCCGAAGGGTATATGGGTCTGCACTGAAGGATGTCGCCACAGAGGGTCTGACCTGCTGTGAGAGGTGGTCACCTTCCCCAGAACCCTCCAACGCATCACATCCTGCCTCGGCGATGGTCTTGGAAGACGCATCGCATCCTGCTCTGGCGGTGGTCTCTGAGGACGCATCGCAACCTGCTCTGGCGGTGGTTTCTGAGGACGCATCGCAACCTGCTCTGGCGGTGGTCTCTGAGGACGCATCGCATCCTGCTCTGGCGGTGGTCTCTGAGGACGCATCGCATCCTGCTCTGGCGGTGGTCTCTGAGGACGCATCGCATCCTGCTCTGGCGGTGGTCCCGGGGGACGCATCGCATCCTGCTCTGGCGGTGGTCCCGGGGGACGCATCGCATCCTGCTCTGGCGGTGGTCCCGGGGGACGCATCGCACCCTTTTTCGGCGGTGGTCTCGGAGGACGCATCGCACCCTGCTTCGACGGATGTGGTCCGGGTGGACGCATCGCACCCTGCTTCGACGGATGTGGTCCGGGTGGACGCATCGCACCCTGCTTCGACGGATGTGGTCCGGGTGGACGCATCGCACCCTGCTTCGACGGATGTGGTCCGGGTGGACGCATCGCACCCTGCTTCGACGGATGTGGTCCGGGTGGACGCATCGCACCCTGCTTCGACGGATGTGGTCCAAGGGGCCCCGGCTCAGGTGAAACCTTTCCACGAGCCTCCAGTCCAAGGGTCGACGCCTTCAGGCTCTGAAGAGGACGTCTCCTGCTCTGAAGAGGACGTCTCCTGCTCTGAAGAGGACGTCTCCTGCTCTGAAGAGGACGTCTCCTGCTCTGAAGAGGACGTCCCCTGCTCTGAAGTTCCCCAGTCTACGTCCCCTCAAGTTCCCCAGTCTGAAGTTCCCCAGTCTACGTCCCCTCAAGTTCCCCAGTCTGAAGTTCCCCAGTCTACGTCCCCTCAAGTTCCCCAGTCTGAAGTTCCCCAGTCTACGTCCCCTCTTAGTCGTGGTCTTTGTCCAGAGTCCCCTGTTGGTAGTAGTCCTGTGTCCCGTCTTAGTCGTGGTCTTTGTCCAGAGTCCCCTGTTGGTAGTAGTCCTGTGTCCCCTCTTAGTCGTGGTCTTTGTCCAGAGTCCCCTGTTGGTAGTAGTCCTGTGTCCCCTCTTAGTCTTGGTCCTGTGTCCCCTCTTAGTCTTGGTCCTGTGTCCCCTCTCAGTCTTAGTCTTGGTCCTGTGTCCCCTCTCAGTCTTAGTCTTGGTCCAGTTTCCCCTCTCAGTCTTAGTCTTGGTCCAGTTTCCCCTCTTAGTCCTCGTCCACCAGTTTCCCCTATCACCACACTCCTACAGTCCCGGCTCCTGGTTCCCCATCGCCGGCCCCCCAGACTCCCACAGTCCCGGCTCCTGGTTCCCCGTCGCCGGCCCCCCAGACTCCCACAGTCCCGGCTCCTGGTTCCCCGTCGCCGGCCCCCCAGACTCCCACAGTCCCGGCTCCTGGTTCCCCGTCGCCGGCCCCCCAGACTCTTCTGGCCCTCCTTCCTGGTCCCCCTCCTCCCGCCCTGCTCTGGCCCTCCTTCCTGGTCCCCCTCCTCCCGCCCTGCTCTGGTTTCCTGTGGGCGTCTGGTATCCGCCCTTGAGGGGGGGTTCTGTCATGACTCCCGTCCTTCACCCTCCTCCACTTCCCCATTTTTACCTTCATTCAGCTCCTGGTCCCTTCACCAAGCTCAAGTCAACTCAAAATCCACATCATCCTACCACCTGTTTCTCATTAGCTCCTCATCAGCTCATCACACACACCTGCTCCGCCTCCTATATAACTCCCAGCCTGCTCTCCATCCAGTGCCAGATTATTGAACACATCTTGTTAGTATATTCTCCAGCCATCCACCCTGCCTGATCTCAACCTCCAGACCTTGTTTTTGCCTGACCCCTGCCTTGTATCCTGCCTGCCATTTTGACCTCAGCCTGTCTCCGACTCTGTCTTCAGCCTCGCCCATCTGGTAACTTTGCCACAAATAAAGACTTTTTAATCCATTTTTTGCTGTGTTTAGCGTCTTCACGGGTCTTCTGAGTTCTGTTCGTGACAATATAATTCATTATTGATGCTTAATTAACTTGAATGGTGATTTGCAGCCGGTAAAGTTTAACATCTTGACTTGCCTTACCCGTTTTATCTTCATTTGAAGTTAAAGACCGCGAGCTTGTTTGAGAAAAAAAGGTGCTCATTTTTGCACATTTAGCTGCATCAGTTTCCAGCGCTTTCCTCTTTTTAATTGTTGCCTTCTCCGCGCCACCCTTACTCTTTCTACTTTCCATCTTTCCAGCAACTGCGTGGTCACGTGGTGCGCACAGGGGCATACGGGGAAAAAAAAAATAACGAGCGGCAGCCTGCAGGTAGAGCCAGCCAGAGACAGCCGGGAGGAGCGTATGAGATCAGCCCGGCGGCCTCAGTGCCATGACTGAACACCGGCACAAAAAAATAAAAATGATAAAAAACAAAAACGAGAGCACCGGTCCATGCGGCCCAAACATCGCGCGGCCCACCGGGAATTCTCCAGACCCTCCCGATTAGCCACTCCGGGCCTGCTCCTGAGGCAGAAAAGGCTTTTGTGGAGTTAAAAAAACTTTTTACAAACAAATGTTGTTCTATCCTTGCCTGACTACTCCAAAGATTTTTTTCTCTCTGCGGATGCAGCAGAGAGGCACATGAAGGCGTTGTTGACTCAGAAATATGGCAGTCAGCACAGACCCATAGCTTATTACTCTAAAAAGCTAGATTCAACTGCAGCCGGTTTACCCAGCTGTGTACAAGCGTGCGCTGCAGCTTCAGAGGCTGTTATGCTAAGCATTGACCTTGTTCTATTACACCATCTCACGTTACAAGTACCGCACTCTGTTGCACTGATTCTGCTGGAAACAAACCTACCCTTTCTGACACACAATAGACATCTCACATGTGTCTCTACATCGTTGTCGCAGTCACATATTGAAATAGTGCGCTGTGGAAGCCTGAACCCAGCTTCACTTTTACCTACTGACATAGATGGAGAACCCTATTGCTGCAAAACATTCACAAATGAAATGAAAAGACTACGTGTTGACATTTTAGACCAGGGCTGCCAACTTTTGAACATTTCAAAGAGTGAGACGGGGTCATTTTGTGCTCTACATTTTATTTTTTTATTTCTACTCTGTATGGAAGAGGATTAGAGCCACTGACAAGAAAAAAATGGAAGAAAGAGAATTCTTGCATTTTTCTCAGAAATATGACTTTTTTTCTCAAAATTATGACTTTTAATCTCGGAATTCTGACAGGGAATTGAGGGAAAAAAGTCAGAATTCTCTTTCTTTTCTTTTTTTTTTTCTTTTCAGTGGCCCTAATGCTCTTCCGTACCTCTGACTTTACAGAGGGAACTGACCTTTGTTTAACACAAATTTTCTTTTCGTGAGGACAATTTAACATCCATCCATCCATCAGCAGTAAAGAGTTACAGCTACATGTCACAAATGTCACACAGGAACTTTAAATGATAATTAATGTAATTATTTTTAAATGCCATCTAGGGGTGGGCAATATCATGTCATTCATAATATTAACCGTTATTATTTCCTTCCAAGAAAAACAATCTATCATGTTAAGCTAGCTTCATGATGTACTTGCATCCATTAAACACAGGATTATGTTCATGTGGTCATCAGCATGAAGTTATTGAAGTTATCAAACATGGCTGCAGTCAGTTTTACTGTAATCTGTGTCTCTAAGTGTGTGTGCTGCTGTAATGACTGGATGTTCCCACTGTGGGACTAATATAATTTACTCTATTGTATTATATTAATTCATATCAGCCAGTAGGGGGAAAAACGTTTGAGGAATTTTGGCCTTTCCAGGCTTCCGTACCAGTAACCTGGTTATAGAGGCAATGGCAGTGTTCGAGTTGAGCTGCGCCTCGCCTGGAAAACAGACGAGAGCAGACAGAAGCAGCAGGGGGAGTGGCTGAAAGCCGGCGTTTAAGTCGGACAGATTTCCCTACATGTGTAGCTCACGGGTGACGATGGATGAAGATATCGCGTTAGAGTTCATACTTGTTTAATTTTCAATTGTAATTATGGTGCCTGTTAGCAGCTGAAACACATCCTCACGTGCTTCTGGATATCATATACTGTATATGAAGACATGACTGTAATAATTATTATTAATAAGTAAAGGTTATCAGCTGTAGGTTTAGTGAGCTCATAGGAAATGTGACAAAAGAACACAAAACATATTCCTCTTCATGGCCTATATAGTTGTCATCATCAACGTTACATGATTTACAGAATACATTGTAGGATCTAAAATCAGTCTTCTGTGTGTACGTGCAGTCTGACATCCTGTTTATCAGTCCAGCTTCTGCGTACGTGCTCAACATCATGTTGTTCAGTCCAGCTTATGTAAGCTTATGTAACTTTCAGTAACTCTTAACTTCTTTGACCATATTGGGAAGTGAAAAACAGCACACCATCATTTCCCGAAATCAAAGGAATGTGGGAGTAAGCGCCAGCAACATGAGTATAACTGATGCTGCATGTTGAGGGAGAGAGGGGCTTTTGCAGAAGGATTCCAGCCGAGGCTTTTAGTACCAGGCTGGACGCTCTCCCATGAGCTGTTGGTGATGTATGGATGAGTTGTACAAATAAATGCCCCACGCTGTGTTTGGACGAACCTGTCTGTCTCTTGTGTTTTGATAAGGCAAAAGAACAACATTCTGGTGACCACGTAGTGGGAGTAGAGGCGTGCTTTTCGGATCGGTTCACGGTCTATGGAATTTTGACTCCTGGGCCCTATAGGTAAGAACAATTTTTGTTCAATTTTGGAGTTATTCCGTTGGTTGTGAACTGGTCTGGGAGAAAAAACATGCCCTGCTCATAATTTAGAAGTTATAACAACAAGAGAATGCATTTGTCCAGAGCAGCGGTGCAAAATATTCACACGTGTGAAGTCAGCTGAGTCATTTTGATGACGGACAAATTTTAAGTGACAAATTAAAGGTGGGACAGCAAATTGGAATAGAATTTGAACAGCTGATAAGGTTCTGAGAAATCCAGTCTGCTGACTCGGTAGAGCAGAGACGGGGATTTAAAGATAACAGTTGAAGAAAAAGCGCTGAAGTTGTGACAGAGATAAGCTTTGCCTGAAGTTCGGTCAATTCCCCGGGAAGTGGTAAATTTCATGAGTTGTTGGCAAAGGCATGTGATGATGTCATAGTTGCAGCAAAGAGGCTGTAAAAAATGGGCCCCGTGAACTCGGGGGTACCTGTCTGTCTGTTGAGTTTTTTTTTTGTGTGTGTGTGTATGAGGCGCCAGAGGTTAGAAGGAGGAAAAAGGAAAAAAAGAGGAAAAACTAGGAGAAGCCTTAAGAAACGGTGTAAAACAGATCAACAATATTCACTGCAGTGCTAAATTTGATGTTTAAGGTTATACAAATTTCAAAGTCTGTGATCCTGTTCTAATTAGTCTTTAAACAGAAAACCAGAAGTTGAATAATAATAATAATAATAATAATAAGTTTTTAAAGTGACATATATATAAATAAAAATATATACTGAAGTGCACAAGCTTGATAACTATTTTTACCAGCTGGGTAATGTGAAATATGAGAAATATAGATTATGATTAATAAATAAATAATAATGTTTATGTGTCTTGCGTGTTTGGCATGAAATGTTGCTCCAGTGTCAAATTGCTCTGAAGTGTGTTTTTCTAATCTTTATGCAAGTGTGAAAGCTCTGCTGTGTGTGGTTGTTTTACTCGTGGAAGTGTTGACAAAATATGGATGGTTTGTGTTAGGTTAGATAAGAAAAAGGTTTGGTGAAAGCTCAAATACTCTGATTTTGTTTAAACTATTGCTTGGATAAATTAGAGAGAAACTGATTTTTCTTCTGCTGATTCTGTCTCTATTGTGGTTGACTCTTTCCTGTATTGTAATGTTATAAAGCTGTCTGAGAGTTGTTAAATTCTGAAGGCTGAATGCACTTGGTGTCACCAGCCTGTTTGTTTCTCCGTACAGACAACCTCAGCTGTCAGACTCTAAACTTAGACTGGACAGAAGAACCAGAGTAGAAGTGTAAGCTCCACCTACCAGCTGTGTGTGCGCTCCTTTCCACACACACACACAGACACAGAAGTACAGAAGCGATCCCGCCTCTGACTCCACCTCTGTGTGTGGATTGGTTGGTGAGCCATAGGGCGTAGAGAAACCCTACCCTGTGGGCTGAGTTTTGCTCACACACGAGCTCGGGACTAAGGATACGGCTATTTTTAGCCTGCTCCATGCAGCAGCCCACACCAACCTGACTCTCTGCAGCGACAGAAGACTCATATTTTGCAGCTGAACTGCTGGGGGAAATAAATACATATTCAATCCAGATTTAAAAGTTTCACTATAAAAACTTTCAGGCATTAAGTTTTTCTTTCAACAATGAATAAAGCTTTTTGAACTAACTTTACTTTAGTGTTAAATCAGAAGAGATTTGATTTTAAGGCATTTATAATAAGAAGATAAATTGTTGAACATTTGTGTAAACAAAACAATAGATTACTCAAGACTACAGCATCATATGTCACCAGTATCTGTTTCAACTTTCAATTTTTGTTCTACTTTCAGGAGATTATAAATAAACAAACTAGTTTACTAATCAGAGGGATAAGTGTTAATGAAACTTCAAAATGTCGGTCACGCCAGCAGGAATTTTGACAGCAAAGAATCCTGCTTTAGCAAAAGAGATAAAGCACATGTCAGAAAAGTGGTCGAAACGGACGAGAAAACTATGCAATCCGTGGCCATCTGATGGCACTTTTGATGTCGCAGCTTGCGACAATTTGGAGTTGAGAATTCAGGATTATAAAGCAGATGGGTCCAAGAAAAGACAGCAGAAAAGAGAAAAGGAAATTCAGATCCTGGACTTATTCAGGAATGAAGGAAAGATTTACAGACAGAACTTTAAACACGCCATCCTTAAAATGAAAGACAAATTGGACAAACCCCAGAAGGAAGTGAAGGCCCCAGCAGAAGAGGGCCTGTATCCCCTTTTGGGAACCGTTACAATTACGGGAGATTTTGATTTGCGCGACACGTTCGACAAAGGTCCTAAGGGTTAAGATGTTGACAATGCAATTTTAAAATTAACAACATCACAGCAATCAGATGAAGCACCTGGCAAAGAAAAGCATGCAAAAGGAAGTGAGGAAAGGGAATTGGAACAAACAACTCCACCTCGTGGAACGCATCCAAAATATTGCAGCACAGAACGTCGAGCGGTAAGTGAAGAAGGACGAAGGATGATTGATTGTTTTGCAGAACATAAGGATTTTTTGAAAAGGCAACCGAAGGCTAACTCATACTGGATTGACCTTGAGAATAAGGATGTAAATGTACATGATGAGCTAAACGATGTTGACCAAATTATACAGGAAATATCTCAGGGTCTGCAGAAGTCCCTAAATCACATCAAAGGCACACATTCAGATGAGGATAGTGAGAACACCACTAGCACAAGTAAGGAGAAAAGTTTCAAGCCTTTTTACAAACCAGGCATTCACTCACCAGAGCCTGTTGCTCCGAATACAGTTCAGACTCAAGAGAAGGAAAAACCAGGTCCTAGCAGTGAAAACCGGGATCTGAGACCCAGACATGACTTAAAACCACCTATTCGATACACTGATGATGGTCAGTACCCAATTTTAATTAAGGGCACAAGAGCTAATTATATTCCCTGGCAGAGCCTCAACCTCACTGGTTTGGTTTCGCGGCTACCCGAGATACAGGAAGGCGCTGGAAAGTGGATTAGGGCTTTCGAACAGGAGACAACTGGGCTAATGCTTGCCTTTGGAGATCTCAAAGCTATTTTGGCTCGAGTTGTTGGGACATCAGCTATGGGAACATTGCTCGCATCCAATGGAGTTCAATGGATGCTGGACCCAATGGCTGACGGCACAGAGTTTAACACACACAGAAATGCACTCTGGAACATACTAAGAGCGGCATATCCCAACAGGATTGATCCCAAAGCCTTGAAAGGTGAGCCACTTTCAGAGACTGAGAGACCTGCGTCGTTCGTTGACAGCCAGCTCAGACGGTGGAAGCTGGAGACGGAGGACGGTCCTGAGGGGACGCCAATAATGACTTCTCTGTTCCGAACATCCCTGATTTCCACTCTCCCGACTCCTGTGCGAGACAAACTGGAGGATGTGGTGGGACTGGACTCAATGCCACATGCACAGTTCAGAGACCATGTAGTCCACGCAGTGGACCGCTATCGGAAAGACAATAACAAAATGCTTGAGCAAGAAAAGTGTGCTCTGGTTTTATTTGACACTGTATATTGTGGCTGTATTTTACTGTATTTATATGTTGTTGCCTTTTAACTTGTGAAGCACTTTGTGACCTTTTTGTCTGTGAGAGGTGCTATAGAAATAAAGTTACTTACTTACTACTTACAGAGAAAACTCACGCAGCTGCATATAAATGAACTCCAGAACAAGGCCAAAACCCAGGCAGCAGTTGTGAAGAGTGACAGCAAAAGTGACAGTCAAACCCAAGCATTGCAGACAGCTGTGGCCCCGCCTCAAACTCCATCTCAACCGGTTATCAATGGCTACCCAAACCATTATGGTAGACAGCAGCCTGGACCACAGAGACGATTTCCAAATCGTTTCCCTAATCGCTACCCAACCCAACAAGGCTGGGTGCAGCAGAATCGACCCCCACCTACAGGTCCATGTTGGGGGTGTGGCCAGATGGGTCACCTGTATCGAGGCTGTCCGAATCCAATTGCAAACCCTGGATGGTCTGGGCGTGGTCGTGGAACACGACCAAACCGGGGAAGAGGAGGTCCAGTTAATCCATGGGCAGCACAACAAGGATTCTAGGGATGCCCGGAGGGCCCTGGGGGGGAGGAGCAACTACCAATTTTAACAGCTAACGCCGATAAAGAACCAGTGATCAATGTTAAAATAGAAGGCAAATCGGTCCCAATGTTAGTTGATACTGGGGCAACCTACTCATGCATAAAATCAAATTATGCAACTCACCTCCCCATGTCTGAGAAAAGCGTAAAGACAACAGGGTTCTCGGGAGCAAAACAAATAAACCCCTTAACAGCTCCAGTAAAACTAGCAGTTGATGACAGTGAAATCGTAATCCCAATTCTGATTTCAGACCACACTCCAGTTAATCTATTAGGAAGAGATGCATTGTGTAAACTAAAAACAAAAATCTGGTGCACACCAGAAGGAATTTATGTAGATAGCTCTGGATTAAACTTTCAAATGACTGCTCAGACAGAACACGCTAAGGTCTACTGGCTTGGTGAGATTAACAAGCCAGTCTCCGAGATGTTTCAACAATGGGAAAAATTTATTGAAGCTCAAATTCCAGAAGCTACTGTGCCATTCAGTGACTATCACTGCACTATGACTTATGATCCATCATGCAGTAGAATCTTTGAAGAAAAATGGGACAAAGAAACAAAAGACTTGCACTTTAGGCTAGTGTCACAATACATCGTGATAGGACAGCAAGGTGCAGCTGTGAATGTGGAAGAAAACCCATTTATTGAAAAATGGCATACTGTGCCAGAATCAGCACCACACATTACCTTAATGGTAAACAAAGGCTTTGAGTCAAAAGATCTTGGACCAATGATGTTAACAGCAACTAAAACAGAGTGGCAGAAAACAGATAACCCGCTAATCTACACTACAAAAAATGCAGAAATGATTAAAATTCTCTGCGGCACCACCATGATGTCAAAACCACAGGTTGTAACAGTCGCAAACAAAAAACACATGCAAGGTGTAGCAGAATCAGAAACAGCTCAAAACGAGTTGAAAGCCGACATGTTAAAACAGGTTCCAGACCAGCTATGGTCCAAACATGACACGGATGTTGGACTGGTAACATCGGCAACTCCAGTTCAAGTGGAATTGAAGCCAAATGCAAGACTGCCTTATCGGCCCCAATACCCACTAAAACCAGAAGCAGAAGAGGGTATAAATGCAACTATTGAAGGTCTAATTCAAGCAGGAGTACTAAAAGAAACCTATAGCACATGTAACACTCCAATTTTGCCAGTGCTAAAAGCAGACAAGCTCAAGTACAGACTGGTACATGATTTAAGAGCTGTAAATGACGTGATCACTGACTTTGACGCAGACGTGCCAAATCCAAGCACATTACTGAGTAACATCGATGGGGAAGCTAAATATTTCACAGTAATTGATCTGTGTTCAGCATTTTTTAGCATCCCATTGGCCACAATATCTTTTTGCTTTCACGTTTCGTGGGAGACAGCTCACTTACAGAAGGCTACCACAAGGGCTAAAACACAGTCCACACATCTTTAATCACATTTTGAAACAGAGCCTCGAAGGCATCGAGGTGAACAGCACTGTGATTCAGTATGTTGATGACCTACTGATCTGTGCACGAACAATCGATGATTGTCATCGTGACTCCATTAAAGTCCTCCAGAAGTTAGCTCGGGGACGACACAAAGCCTCTCTGACAAAGCTTCAGTACTGCCAACCACAGGTAGAGTACCTAGGGAGAGTAGTCTCCCATGGGACTGTCGCCATCTCACCAGAACACGTGGAAGGTGTGAGCAAAGCTCCACAACCACAAACTGTTGGACAAATGATGACATTTCTGGGAATGGCTGGTTTCAACTCCGAGTGGATTGAAAACTATGCTGAAAAAACCGCACCACTTAGGGCACTGATTAAAGATGCTGGAAGTGAGTCTTTAAAATCGACTCTACAATGGACAAATGAAGCTAAGATAGCTTTTGAAACCATCAAACAAGACATGCAAACTGCGCAAAGTTTAGCAACACCTGACTATACAAAACCATTTTTGCTGTACGTCGCAAACAGACATGACATGTATGCCTCTGCAGTGTTAATGCAGGACACGTGCAGTGGACGTCGGAAACAACCTATTGCATACTACAGTGCAAAACTTGACAATGTGGCACAGGGAAGGCCCCCTTGCTATCAAGGATTGGCTGCTTTGCATTATGCTTATGAGAAAGCCTCAGTGATAACAATGGGATATCCTGTCACCATCTACACACATCACAAAATATCTGAACTAATCAACCGAGGAAAGTTTCTGTTGAACAGCAAGATGCCTGCAGTATATGCCACTACTGACATTTCCTGACGTTGTCATAAAGAGGTGTACCACAACAAACCCTGCTAACAGTGTTCCCTTTGAGTTTGAAGGAGAACCACATTGCTGCATAGCTGAGGTATCAAGATACACTAAGCTAAGGCCTGATTTGGAATCTACTCCTTTCAATCAATCTGATGTCAACTATTTTGTTGATGGTTCTTTAGAGACTACTTAGGAAACCATGCAGCGTTTGCTGTTGTGGAAAAAGTAGATGACAGATTTGAAACAGTAAAAGCTGAAAAGTGTAACCAACCCTGTTCTGCACAGCTAGCGGAACTCAAAGCCCTGACCGAAGCTTGCAAGTTGGCAAGTGGCCAGGTAGCAACTATCTACACTGACTCTGCATACGCACATGGTGTTTGTCACCTGTTTGGAAGTGGGTGGAGACAAAGAGGTTTTAAGAAGACGGACGGTACTCCCATCCTTCATGAAAAGCAGATCAACGAGCTGATCTCAGCAATGATGCTTCCGTCAAAACTGGCCATTGTAAAGTGCCCTGCGCACCGCAAGGGTAACTGCAATGTCATCAGAGGCAACAATGCAGCAGATGAGGCGGCAAAATCTGCCTCCAGGTGTGAAGAAGCCATTTTGACACCTGTAATATCACTAGAGCCTGTAATAACACCAGAAGACATCATTTTGATTCAGGAAAAGGCAGAGAAAAGCGAGCAGCAGTGTTGGAGAAAAAGGGGAGCAATGATGGACTCAAGCGGCTTGTGGAGGTCTCATGAGGGCTTGATCGTTGCACCTGTCTCCATGCTGGCAATGCTAATCTCGGAAAGCCACGGTCCTGATCATTGTGGTCGTACAGAGGTTCTGAAAAGACTTAACAAACAAGGTTACTGGTCACCATACCTAAAAGCCATGGTTGAGGAAGTAATAGATCAGTGTGACATTTGTGCTGAGAACAATGTAAAAAAGGGCATCACAGTCCCAGCGGGACACATTCCAGTGCCCGAAGGTCCGTTCAAACATTTGGTCATTGACTATGTTGACATGATTAAGCCTGTGCATGGGAAGCGGTACATGCTGGTGATCATTGACAGATTCAGTCGGTGGATCGAAGCCGTTCCCTCTAAAGATCTAGGTTCAGAAAGAGTGGTAAAGTTTCTAGTTAGAGAAGTGATTCCTCGCTTTGGTATCCCATCGGAAATAAGCTCGGACAATGGTCCTGCTTTTGTTGAAAAAGTCCTTAAAGGTGTGTTGCAACAGCTAAGGATAAAGCAACGATTAGGATCAGTTCATCACCCCCAGAGCCAAGGAATGGTCGAGCGAGCGAATCTGACATTGAAGTCTAAAATCTGCAAAATCTGTGCTTGTACTAACCTTAACTGGATTGATGCATTGCCGCTTGCCTTAATGAGCTATCACATGCAAACTAACAGAAGCACGCATCTTTCACCTCATGAGGTCCTAACAGGCAGGCCAATGCCAGCTCCTCAGCTCAGGGGACCCCACAAGGGGCCCTCGTTGGAGCAGCTAGAGCTTGAATTCAAAAGCTATATCAAGCAACTAACTAGCATCCATAAAGCCATCTATTTGCAGGAAAAGAGAAAGGAGCTCGTCTCTAGTGCAGGCGCAGACGGGCCAGTAGTTCCTGGAGACCAGGTGTACATCAAAGTTTTCAGGAGGAAGTGGCACGAGCCGCGGCGAGAGGGTCCCTACAAAGTGGTTCGAGCAACGCCAACAGCAGTCCAGGTCGAAGGAGGATCGACGTGGCATCATCTGACACACTGCACGAGAGTCAAAGACAAAACTCAGGGCAGTATTGTGTCTGACGTAACAAACCGGCATGATGGCCGAGGAAAAGAAGGGCGTGCTAAGCCTGATAACAGTTCTGTTTTGGATAACACTAAGGGGTCTGATGGTGGTGCTGGAGAAGGTGAAGATGGAGACGATGGCCGAGGAGCAACTCGTCGACCCATCACAAGAGCATACGCCAGACGACTTGGTCAACGACGAGGCAGCACACCGTGATCAAGTTAAGTACAATCCAGCAGGCCGGATGCAACATAGGTCGGCATCCTTGCCTGCATTCGACGTAGCAATTGTTAAAACTGGTGTTACAACCACGGTTCCAAACAATGTTTTGACAACAACTAAGACAAATAAAATCCCTGACAGTGTGACCACAGTTCCAAATAATGTTTTAACTACTAGCGCTACTACTACTGTAATCCCTGATGTTTTGACTACCACAACCCCTGTTGAAGAGGTGAGGGCCAACTGGAGCTCTTCCTCTCTCTTACAGCTAGTGACTCCGCTGACTTTAAGACTTGAAACAACGCCAATTAGCAAGCTGAGAAGCGTAACCACTAAGCCACCTGTTAGTACTACAACTCCCACAGGAGGTGTAGCTGTGAAATCTGGTTTTCCCACAGCAACCTCTGGTAGTAACCATGTTCGTAATCTTACTCAGCAAGGACAAAATGAACAAGAAGTGACCAATCGCAAAACTGTACCTAAGCCACTATTTGGGCCAATTAGACCTAGGTCCGGAAGTAACACAGGACCTATCTCCCCTAGAGCGAGCAGACCATTGCCTATAGAGGATAGGCTTTGGGATGCCGCCATGCAAAATAGGTGGTATAAATGGGCTTTGTATACGACGAGAGAAATGACTCCTAATGACTGCATAGTGTGCGCTCAAGCACCCGGAATGTTACCTGAGGTTGTTCCAGAAAAGTATACCTCTAGTGAATGTGCCA